TTAGGTGTTGAGAATGGACAGAGCAATTGAAAATGAAAAGTAATAATAACAAAAAAGATTTGGATAACTCTATGTTTGTCTGTACAAGTGTGCCTCATACCCACACTTCAATGTAAACTGTTGGCAACAATCTTCGTAATTTATGAATATTTTCTTATGCTTATTGTTCTCCTTGTTCTTGCTGTTACAGCATTATGAATTATTATGTTTCATGTATCTGTCAAGTGTCAAGTGGCATATTTGTGTTCATATATTATGTGATAGCAAATTGGGAAAATGATGGAACATGATATTGATGGTTATATTTGTAACTATGAATGAGCACAACCTTTACACCATCACCACCTATGAGCAGCTTCTGAAAAGTTACTGCACAATCTTAAATTAATGCATTACTTTTTAGGGTATTTAATGGTAGATGTCCATTTCCAGTAAGTGTTTAAATGTTATCATCCTTTTCTCAAATGCCCTGCCTTTGTATCAATTATATGGTATGGGATTAGATTACATCCTATATTGTTTCCCTCTCACAACCCCAAACCCCCCCCTTCTCTGTTAATCTTTCTCTCTCTCTCTCTTCATTTGGACTGAATTTAAAAGTAATCTTTTCACCATCAAGTTCTTTCCTTTTAATATTTCTGTTCTAGTTTCAGACTTCTGGATGATAATGAATTTTGATCTGAATTTAAGGTTTCTCTGTATAGAAATAGCTGCTCTATGATTTCTTCAATGTGTGAGGTAAGATCCATTATCTAGGTTATCTCTTCTCAGGGAATAAATATTGTTTGGGAGTTGCTGTTTGAAGACATGGATCTCGCCTGAAATCTGCTTCGATGCTTATTTGTTAGGTAATTTGCCTTTTCCTACCTTGGTGACATTTCTTCAGAGATCATTTTTTTTCTTCTGATATTACATGAGGGAAATTCAGGACCTTAGTAATGGTTGTTAATCATTAGAAGAGGTGTCATATAAAGAATACTGTTTACCTGACTCTTTTAGCGTGTTATTAATGCATTGAGTATGCAAATACAAGGTTTAGCTCATCGAGTTTCTGGTTTAGGATTTGATACAATCTATGCAATTGTAACATATATTATGATCTTTGTCATTTTCCTTCTCTTGTATGTTTATAAAGCTGCTTTAAAATCTGTTTAGAAAATTTACTTTCATCCTTCAAACAAGCCCTTTGCCTCAAGTTCAACTTTCTCTGCCATTTCTTAACCCTTGTTATCATCTAGAGCAATTCATATTTAGATGTTCATTTATTCATCATGCAGAGGATAATAGGATGAGAAACATTGTTGTCAACAAGCATGGATTGTTTACAAAGCCCTTCCTTTCTGTAGCTATGAATCTCTGTATCTGTATATTATCTAGCAACAAGGAAGGCTCTACATCCCTTGGATTGTTGGAGTGCTGTGTATCTTTTGTCTTGAGTAAGCTAGTTCCTGAGTTATTTATCATTGATTCAGGTTCCCCTTATTTGATGTTATTTAGTTATTTCTAACTCCATTAAGGAAACATCATTTTTCATTTTTTTATTTGCTTTTACCATTAGAGCTTTCTACTTTTCTAATGCTAGCTTAATGCCTGGGATACTTTTGAGTTTTAATATATTATAAGATGGACCATTCTGTTGAGGACCTTGAGGCACTCTTCTTGCCTTTCATGAAATGCCCCAACTTTGCACAGACCTGAGCAACAAAGGGGGTTATGACAAAATTTCTTGACTGGCTGCAAAATTTAAGAAATTAGGAAACTTACGTGGCTATACTTGGTTTTATAGTGCTGGGATGTATCATAGAATGTTATCCCTAGTTATATTTATGGCATGTGCCTCTGCAGTCTCTCTGCCATGTTCTTATTGGTATATCTCATGCCTGCCACTCTAATTAGTATGACTATGTTTTATGGAAATTGCATGGAAAAAAGTTTGATGAGAGTGGATATGCTAGTAAGAATAATGATTTAAATATAAACGTAAATAGGCTCAGCCCTTCATAGTCGGATTCTTGTCTTTGTTGAAGCATGGTTTCAGTATTTATGTGCCCTGTTGATTGCCCAGAAATTCTTTGGAAACTAGCAGATGTCTAGCCTGTGTCCAGCATGTGCGGGTTTGTTAAAGCTGCATTCATTGAATGTGTCTTGTTAGCAATATGTATGTGCTATGAGGCATATGCCAACTGAAGAGCTGTTGCTTATCATGTTAGGACTGTTGAAATCCATTATTAGTAGCCTGCTTTTTCTGTCAAACACCTGATTGACCCAACATGTGTCGCTGTTTCTGCTATTTTGGTGGTTGTCAACATTTAAGAAGTTGTTTGGAATTGCTTTAATTGATTGGCAGCTGCTTCCATGTGCCTTGCCGATGATAGTCCAAAATATCAAAACTTAAAAAAAAAAAAAAAGAAAAGAAAAAGATGAGTTACCGTACATGCGGACTGTAGTCTGGCAATGTCTCAAGGATTATTCAACTGGAAGAACATGGGATTCTGGTAGGCTAATTGGCTTTGTGTTGGTAATTATTGTTGATTATTATT